GATTTGCACAATAAAATGTGAAATAGGGTGCAGCTAACAGATGATTGAAGCTCGAGGTCTGTAGGCCTCCTGATTGCGAAGTAAAATAATTTCCAGATTCTTATATAATATTATAATCATTATTTTTATTTAGTTGTTCCTGATTGCTTTCAAACCATGGTCATCCAAATTCAATAACCAGAGATAAATGTCGCAGTTTGACGAGAATTTTTTCTTAAACACAATATGTTACGTGCTAAAATTTGAAGAAACAAAAGTTAATGGATTATTTGATTACGAGTTGATTTGCACGTTGAATTAAGGACACATTATATGCTGAGCAGGTTATAAATTTAACAGAGAGAGAGCACGAGAGATGTGGATCAGTGGGGAAGGAGCAATAGATAGGTCGTTTATGTAGGATTATTGTGCAACGACAGGCTGGAGATGGCTTCTAATATCTAATATAAAATATATAAAGTAGAAGAAATCAATCATGTGTCGATCTTTGGTTAATTTTAAAGGGAAGAAAATAAAATGTTCCCTTGAGATTGGTATTTATTAGTCATTGACAGAGGCTTCGAGAGTTTAGACAAATTATCTGGCAAGTTAATCCTGGAATTTCACTCTGTAAAATACTTGCACGAGTAGCTGAATTGTACATGCTATTGCCGTTCTGTCGATCTTTGTTTGCCCAGTTAACTAATCAGCCAATAAACTAATCTTCACCGAATTTCGATAACTCAACTGTGTCATATTTCATTCTGTATTTTTCAAAAGATTGGTATGTAAAGTAGAGTCTGTGTGAAATGTAAGTGTGTTGTTACCAGCATTGATCGAATTTGATATCGCACGTTATCAGCTGTCAGGCCATACGAGTTCTCCCACCAGGGAAGGTGGAAGGCTGGAAATGATGAAGGCCGGAGAAAATAACAACTGTGACGGTGGATCTCAACACATACCCTCCACACACTCCCTCACACATACACATACCGACTCCTCACTCACATATGCACATGATCGCAACACCCTCACAGACACACGCATACCTCACGCACACGCCTTGCACACACACATCACACACACACACACAACTCTCACACACAACTCTCTCTCACACCTCACACACGTCTGAAACATAAACCCCTCACAGTACTCCTCAAACACAGACCTCACACACACCACTCACACACCTCATAGACACCTCATAAACACCTATATCAGACACACGTATTCACGCCTCACACACTCACCTCTTACACGCAACTGAAGGCATACACAACGCACACATATCTGACACACACACCTCACAATACAGGTCACGCATAAAACTCACACAGAACGCTCACACACACATCTCACACAAACCACACACAAACTCCTCAACCACACCTGACACACACCCCTCAAACACACAACTCTCACATACGCACTGCTTACATTACACAGCTCTCTCTCACACCTCTTACAAACATCCGCTAACACACACCTCACCCACAAACACACCTCACACACACACACACACACGTCTCACATACATCTATTACAGACTTAACCCTGAAACACACATCACTCACACATTCACACTCTCTTACGCACAGCCTCGCGCACACCTTCACACAAACAGTCACACACACACAAAAAAAAACTTACCCGCACCATCCACTCACACAGCCCCTCACACACCCCCTCAAACAGATCGTCATACGGCCCCTCACATACACGCTCCCACACTTCCTAACGCAGACCTTCACACACCCGCTCACACAGAACCACCTAATACACATACTCTGTACAATAATAATAATAGTAATAATAATCCTTGCATTTGATATCTTGCTTTTAACGTCGAGAGGAAGTCCCAAAGCGCTTCACAGAACACACTGTAAAGTGAATTCACTGTATACCTGTGGGCGAACGCGGCAGCCAATTGCGCACAGCAATGTCTAACAAACAGTCGTGGATTGAAAATGACCAATGTATTATTGTTTTTGGTTTTGGAGGGATTATTATTAGGCTCTGTGTGTTGTAAGGAAACTTGCCCAAGGTTTCGCCCTCTGCCTGGAATTGAACTCAGGTCTCTCACTTGCAAAGCGAATGCTCTAACCACTGAGCTACAGGACTCCACATAATAACAATACTACTAATAATTACAAATAATCAACTGCGGCCGAAGGCGACTTAAAATCGTTCGTTTAAAAAATATAATAAAATTATTGCGCCAAGCTTAAGAATTGAACGAAATGGACTTAAGTTTCAACCCAAGTGGAATTTAAGCGATAGAATGGGAAAACGTGGGGCTTTTCCCTCTTTCCTCACACCCCCCGTGCTCTGAGATGGAGTGGAGTCCTGTAGCTCAGTGGATAGAGCACTCGCCTTGCAAGCGATACACCTTAGTTCAATCCCAGGCCGGGTGAATCCTTGGGCAAGTTTCCGTACGCCACACGCCTGATAATAATACCTCCAATAGACAAAACCAATATTAAATCGGCTATTTTGAATCCACGGCTGTTTGTGCGGACGCTGCTGTGCGTAATTCGCTGCCGCGTTTCGTTCACAAATGTTCGGTATATTCACTTCTCATTATATTCTGTGAAGCGCTTTGAAAAGTCGAGAAACACTGAAAAGCACTATATGAAATGCAAGGATTATTATTATTATTCATAATATTATTGCGCTGACATACACACACACCCTCACACAGACACTCACACTTCTCAAACCCATCCCCCNTCACACAGACCCTCGTACAGACCCTCACTTGCACGCTCACACACACTCACCTATCACCTCACACAAAAACCCTAACAAAAACTCTCACATACAAACACCTCGCGCTCACACACAAACCCTCACACAGACCCTCACACCCAACAACTCACACGCATCGTCAAACACACCCTCACGCACACATGCACACCACCTCTCTCACAAGCACTCACACAAACCCTTACAGACACCACTCACGTGCACCCGCACAAACCTCACACACACATCTCACACACACCCATCATACACAACCGTCACATAACCCCTCAAACACATCCTCACACACACCCTCAGGCACACCACTCAAACACTCACAGACACACCTCACACACATACTCACACATAGCTTGACACACACACTCATACAATCCCTCTCACACCACCTCAAACACTCACGCGCACATACGCCCTCAGGAAATCCTCACACAAACCATCACAGAAACCCTCCCACACGCCTTCACATAACCATTCACAAACACCGCATCACACACATCCCCACACAAACCCTCACAAACCACTATCACACGCCCACACGCACAACCTCACAAACACTCAAACAGACCCTCAAACAAACAATTCACACCCACCCCTCACAAAACCTCAGAATCACCCTTCGCACATACACTCACACACACTCACATACACTCTCACACACACACCCCTCACACATCCTCACAAAAACACTCACACACGTCCTCACATTTCCCCTCACCCATCCCCTCACACAGAACATGACACAATCTCTCACACCTACACTCACCCACACACTCACACACAACTCTCACACACACATTCACACACACCCGATCACACACACCCTCACAAACTACCTCACACACACCGTCGCACACAATTACAACCTCAAACACACACCCTCACAAACACCCACAAACACCCTGCTGACAGGCACACCCTTAGACATCCACCCACACACACCCTCACAATTATTCGCACACACATCCACTCACACACACCCTCGCACAGAAACTCACACATTCCCTCACACACCCTCACACACACCTTCATAAAACCGCTCACACACCATCTCGAACACACACCCAAACAAGAACGCTCACGCACACACTCACACGTATCGTCACACCGACTGTGACACTCTAAGCTGGATTGTGTCCCCAGCTTTAGATGTATTCACACACGGTCTAAGCTCTCAGACGTCCCCTCACTCCACTTTGTGTTGTTTCTCTCTCTCAGCTCCGCCCTTTCTGACTCTGGATCCTGACACAGCGAATCCCCACCTCATCCTGTCTGAGGACCTGACCAGCGTGAGGACCGGAGACACACGGCAGCAGCTCCCGGACTCCCCGAAGAGGTTTGATTCCTGTCCCTGTGTCCTGGGGTCTGAGGGCTTCACATCGGGGAGACATTACTGGGAGGTACAGGTGGCCAACAAGACTGAGTGGGATGTGGGATTGGCCCGAGAGTCTGTCAACAGGAAAGGAGAGAACACACTGTCACCAGAGAACGGATTCTGGGCTGTGATACTGAGAAACGGGGATCAATATCAAGCTGGTGCATCAGTTCTCCGCCTTTCCCTGAGAGAGAGACCCAGGAAGCTGGGAGTTTACCTGGACTATGAGGGGGGAGAGGTGACATTTTACAACGCTGATAACATGTCTCATCTCCACACTTTCACACAGACTTTCACTGAGAAACTTTATCCTTACTTCGGTCCCTGTTTGAATGACGGCGGCAAAAATTCTGAGCCTCTGAGGATCTGCCGAGTGACAGATTAATGAGCAGGAAACCCTCAGCCATGACCTGTGTTTGGCTGTGATGGCCATCAGTCTGAACCTTTTATAATCTGTGTCCTTATACAATAAAGTTTATAGTTTATGTTACACCTTTCACATTGGGACCGCGGCTCAATCCTTTCTCGGAATCGACTGTGAAGCGCCTGTTGTGTTTGTGAGCGAATAAAGAGCTAATTTGGACAGAGAAAAGTCTAAAGTAAGTCACATGTGACACAATGAACATCAGGCTGGAGCTTTCAGCTCCTGATCTCGACAATAATAATCCCCACATTGTACACAGCTCCTCTTGACTTCTGCCAGACGTCTCAATGCCTATCCCAGGCTTTATAAATCTGCGTTAATCCCAATGATACTCATGGGGTTTATCATTGGCTTTCTGTTTAAATAATAAAGCGCTCTCTGTGTACAACACGGGGAACGGTTTTAAAAGCCCCCATTTCCGCGGTGTTTCAAGTGCAATAGTTTAATAAACCCCAATGTTTGCGTTAATCACAATGATATAAATACGGTTTTGCGTTAACTTTGGGTTTTGATTGCAATCCCACAGCCGAGGACAAACACGGGAAACGGGTGTAAATTCCCCTCAGATCATCGGGGTTTAAAGTGCATCAGTGCAAAATATTCCCAATTCTGCATTAATCCCAAATATATAAACTGCTTTTTGCATTAACTCTCTCCCTCTCTCTCACACTCACTCTCACTTTCTATCTTTCTCTCTGTCAATCAGCCGCTGTAGGCTTTGCTACAAACTGGAGACAAATAGGGGCGGGGCTGGGTTTGGGGGCGTGGCCGGAGCTGGGGTCGGGGCTGGATTGGGGGCGGGGCCGGAGCTGGGGGCGGGGTTGGGTTTGGGGGCGGGGTCGGAGCTGGGGGCGGGGCCGGAGCTATGGGCGGGCCTAGGTTCGGTCACGGGGCCAGAGCAGGATTTTGATCTGTTGACCATATTTGGGATTTAAAGCGAGGCTGTCCCTATCTTACAGGTGAGAGGAGGTTTTTTTGGGTTGAAGCCCTTTTTATAATAATAATAGTAATCCATGTATTTGACCCATAGTGTTATCACGCCTTCGGAACGTCTCAAAGCGCTTCACAGTATATACCGTAAACTGTCTCTGTAACAGGTCCTGTAGCTCAGTGGTTAGAGCCCTTGTGGCTCAAGCCAGAGACAGGGTGTCAATCCCCGATTGAGGGCGAAACCTTGTGCAAGTTTCCTCGCTATGCACAGACACACCAAGACACACACACAGATTGAGACACGCGCACACAGGCACACACAAAGACACACCCTGATACACATCCCGTCAGAGACACTCGTACACAGACACACAAACACACAGACACACAGACACACAGGCACAGAGAGACGCACAGACATACACAGACACACAGCCCGGGACAGGCAGAGATCGCAGTGTCCACCCAAGTGTCCATCACACAAGATTGGCTTGATTCCCACATTGGTTGCCAACCTCCAGATCAGCTCCAGAAAGACCCTGTTCACCTCACCTTGAAGGAGTAGAAGGGATATTTTTTACTAAACACGCGCTTTTAGGCGTTTGTAAGACGTGAACTGCCCAATATCGAATGACAAGATTATTACCATTATTATTAGGTGTCCTGAGAATACTGTGGGCAGTTACACAGTGCTGCACCGCCATCTGGTGGCAGTAAAGTGGTGCTGCAGGGTTTTGGACGGGGCAAGTGAAGGATGTCACTCTGTAACAATAATAATAAAAATAATAGTAAATCTTGCATTTGATCCAGTGCCTTATCACATCTTCTAGACGTCTCAAAGCACTTTACAGAATACGCTGTCAAGTGATTTGACTGTACATATGTGGATGAAACGCGGCAGCCAATTGCGCACAGCGGCGACCCACAAACAGTCATGGATTGAGTAATCAAATTACCATTTTTTTTTCTTGATGGATCATTATTTGGCATTTATACACCCAACCACTTCCAGTGTCTCTCCCGTATACACACAGACTCTCTGTGAGTCTCTTCTGTATAAACAGCCTCTTCCAGTGCCTCCGGTTGTGTACACACAACCTCTCGCAGGGTCTCTCCTGTGGACACCCGACCTCTCCCAGTGTTTCTCCTTTATACACAGCCTCTTCCAGTGTTTCCCAATGTACACAACAGCCTCTCCCAGTATTGCTCCTACATAAACACAGCCACTCCCAGCGTTTCTCCTTTACACACAATGTAATGGAGAAACTTCACACCTTCACACCTACTTTTCCCGCTGTCTCTCTTGTATACACACAGCCTCTCCCAGTGTTTCTCTTGTACACGTAGCCTCTTCCGTGTCTTCCATTGTATAAACCAACCTCTTCCACTGACTCCCCTGTATATACACAGCCACTGCCAGTGTCCTGCCTGTATACACACAGCTCTCCCAATCTTTCTCCTGTACAAACAGACTCTTCCAATATCTTCCACATACACACAGCCTCTCCCGATGTCTCTCCTGTACACACACAGTATAAAAATATAAACAACTCACTATTTCACTAACTAACTATTTCACTCACTAACTCACTCACTCACAGACTCACACGCTTAAAGGAAAGCGAAATAATTCAGCAAAGTCTTTTGCAAACTTAATCAACCGTAAGTTGTGACTAACACATTGAATCAGCCTTAGACAGGTATTACCTGATTTCTATCGCATGTGTTGTAGAAAATTTCTTATTTCCAAGGGAAGAAAAGACGGATTTGGAATCAAACAAACTTATATTGCCAATAATTTCATTTCTATTTGCAGAATAAAAATATTCATCATTAGAATATGAATCACTATCAAAAAACTGCATAAAAAATTATATAAAACTGCAGACAGTATTTTGATTTAAAGCGAGTCCGTCCTTTTCTTAAAGGGGAGACGTGTTTTTTTGGGCGATTAAAAAGTCTTTTTGTAACAACAACAATAATATTTGTCTTTATCCCAGCGCCTTATCACGACTTTGAGACGTCTCAATGCGCTTCTCGGGATAGTGTCGTGACTGAGTTTTTACAGGATTCAATGCAAAGTGTCTTTGTAAAGTGTCCTGTAGCTGAGGGGTTAGACACACAACCACACACAGTCACACACATATACACACAGAGAGAGAGACACGCACACACACACACAGTACAAACATACA